TTTTTCATCAAAATTTTTTTTTGTTTTATGTGTATTTTTGCTCCATTTAGTTAAATTAAGTGAATTTATCTTTAGGGTAAGCTGTCAATATTAAAGCAACAAAGTCATTTAAATTCACTCAGTGTGCCAGGAACAAACTATATTTCTGTTCGTTAAATTTAGAACTTATACAAGAATGGGGAAGAGCATTTCTGTTCTGAACAAGTATGTTTTTCTCAATTTGTTTAGCAACCTGAATAAAATGACACATGTAGAAGATAGAGACAAATACACAAAATCTTAAGAATTTTAGTGCTATACATAGGAAGGTTTGAAGACTTCATTTGTATGAAAATTGTTATGAAATGTCACATTTTTAATATACAAGGTGTGGTCCTCCCTCTTATTATAGAGTAAGATTTGGGAAAAGTAACAATCTTCTTTGTTAGCACAAGTAATATGGAGCGAAAATAATAATTAATATTATAATAATTATATAATAATTTTGGTAAAATTTCTCAGAGTTGCAATTTATTGAATGCATACTTCAAATTAACAATAGTTATAAAGTAACTTATCTTCATACTTGGGTAAATAATAATTATAGGATACTATAAAATTCTTTCTGTTTGATTAATTGTATCATATGATAAATATATATACATAATATATGTATCTTTAAGGAGAGCCAGTTACTTACTATGAAAGAGTGAAAAGTTTTTTACTTTTTAAAAAATTACTTAGAATATATGTTAAAAACTTGTATTTAAAATGTTTAGTATTATGTATACTGTATAAGTAGAACTCATGCTTATTTGGTGATGAAGGACACAGGCTTTAGAGTCAGATAAATCTTAATCTAAGCTCCAAATTTATCATAAATTAACTGCGTAACCTCAGGCAAATTACTTAACTTCTTTGAGCCTTAGTTCATTTTTAAAATGGAGGTGATACCTTGTAAAATTCTTAAAATTAAATGTGATAAGGTTTATTAAGAGTTTATTTTGTGCCTGACTCAATAAATGTTAGTTCAAATATATCGAATATAACTTTTTGTTACATAAAATAACACACATATGTTGTTCGCCTTTTATAGTTAAGACCTGTATGCATCATTTTTGTAAATGAAAATCTTAATATTTTTGTGTGATCACTGTATTATTTATGGTTAAACTTTTAAGAGGGTTCTTCCTTTTTTTAAAAAAATATGTTCAATTTAAATGTTTTTCAAGTCTAATGATCAGGTGATTGTCAGGCATTTGGAGGACAAACTCATTTCTACCCTGCTCAGTTAATTATTGTGATTGTAAACAAAGGATGTACAATTCAAAGTCAAGCAACATTTCACATGGATGTCGGAGGTGATAATAGCTTAATTCCTGCTGGATCTTTTTTCTTTGCTCTGGAGAGTTCATACTGACCTTGTCCAAAATCTGATGACCTCCCTATTTTACTCAACTGTTTGGAAAGCCAGGCCTGCCATAGCTGGCCCTGAGGGGGTATCTGAAAGACCACTGAGTCACTGACCCATGTCAAGACTGGATTTCAAGTCTGATCTACAGGACCTCTGAAATAGTTATACATGAGGTTTATTGTACACAAAAACCTAACTAGCTGCATTTTTCTGCTTATAAAATACCATATTGAAGTGTGTTTTAAATGTTCTTAGCAAAGTCATATATTTAATTTACCAAGTTCATTATTGCAGGTCATTTTCTAGAAAAGTACTTGTAAATTTTGATCTTTTATCAAAGGTAGTGTATTACAACCAAACTTGAGTGTTTTGAAATCTGAGCAAAATATATTGTTAAACCATGGCTAAATGTAATGAATATTTTCCTGGTTGATGAAGGGGCCAATGCAGTGGCATTTTAATACTTATAAAGGTTTTGGGTTTTTTTCTGGCGAAAATTCACATACCTCATAAAAAATTTAGTTTAAGCTGTTACTATTACAGCATGTAAATCTCTGTCTATATTTTGTCCAACCTCAAATAATATTCAAATGTTGGTATTTAAAAGTTTTGAGATTATGAGAATTGTCCTGAAAGGAAGCATATAACCAACCAATAAGGTGTTATTCAAATTTGGTTGGATGGGATCTGTCTACCTTAATAGTAACTTAGTATCAGAGCTATGATAGGGAGAGAAAAAAATTCCCTATGTTTATTTTGTCCTAATTCTGCACAATAGGAAATGACCATGCCCTTTTATGAATATCTAGTCAGTATTCTACAGTATAAAATATGACATTGTCTTTTATTTTTATATAGGAGTTGATCCCTGAATTTTATTATCTCCCTGAGATGTTTGTCAACTTCAATAATTACAATCTTGGAGTGATGGATGATGGGACAGTAGTGTCTGATGTTGAACTTCCTCCTTGGGCCAAAACCTCAGAAGAATTTGTTCGCATAAACAGATTGGTAAGATAGTAATCATCTACTCTGTCTGTCATGAGCCTTTTTCAAAGTATCTTTCATGTGTTGGTATAATCATTAACCCTTGGTCTTCTGGACAAAACTATAGTTGGTAGGATAACTGAAAGTGACATAATAGTTTGTAAATTTCCATATATATTTTATTAAATTTTATTGACTTGAAAAGTGTAACGGTTTCTTTTATTCTTTTATGCAGAATTTAGGTTACTTTCATATGCACATGATAATTCAGAATTAAGTGAAACTGGAATTATATGCTTTATGCAACATGAGTTTCTTGTACCAGGAAAAAAACATAATTCTGTGCTCCAGGTTAGAAGGTCATTGCACATTTTGGTAATAGAAACAAGATTCTCAAGTTATACCTTGTATCTTTTCAAGGAAATCTTCATATAATATTTAAAGCATGAAAACTTAAAAGCACAGTAATCATTGTGTTCTTCAGACTCCTCCCTAGTGAACTCTTTAAAGTCCTCTCTTATGTGCATTCTTGTATTATTTTATGAAAAAGTAATACGTCTTTTCCTTTTTTTTTGCCTTTTAAAAGTTTGGGATCTAGGAGCTTTTTTCTCAGTTTTTAAAAGTAATATCTCAGGGACGCCTGGGTGGCTCAGTCGGTTAAGCGTCTGCCTTCAGCTCAGGTCATGATCCCAGGGTCCTGGGATCGAGTCCCGCATCGGGCTCCCTGCTCCGCGGGGAGCCTGCTTCTCCCTCTGCCTCTGCCTCTCTCTCTCTCTCTCTCTCTCTATCTCACGAATAAATAAATAAAATCTTTAAAAAAAAAAAATAAAAGTAATATCTCAGTTTTTAAAAGCAATATCTCCATATTAAAAGTGAAATGTAGGGCGCCTGGGTGGCTCAGTCGTTAAGCGTCTGCCTTCGGCTCAGGTCATGATCCCAGGGTCCTGGGATCAAGCCCCACATTGGGCTCCCTGCTCTGCGGGAAGTCTGCTTCTCCCTCTCCCACTCCCCCTGCTTGTGTTCCTGCTCTCGCTATGTCTCTCTCTGTCAAATAAATAAATAAAATCTTAAAAAAAAAAAAAAAGTGAAATGTAGGGGTACCTGGCTGGCTCAGTCGGTAGAGCATGCAACTCTTCATCTTGGGGTTGTGATTTCAAGCCCCATGTTGGGTGTAGAGATTAGTTTAAAAAAAAAAGTGAAATCTAAATTCTTTTGTGTTTTAATTCACACTTAAGGAAAATTCTTGCATTTTACATATCTAAGTGACATTTCTTACCTTTTATACCAACATTTATATTTTGATCCTGTCTTCCAGATCCTAACTGCAATCCCTTTATTATTGAAATTTCACATTTTATGTATACTGGAAGCAATGCAGGGTGGAATGAACATAGGCCTTGTAGTTAGACCAGTTTTCCCAATCCTGGATAAATCAGTTTGCTAATTTTGGGACTCCAGGCAGTTTAACCTTTCTGAGCCTTGGTTTCCTCATATGTAGTCTGGAGATTATGAATATAGAATTTTAATTATGTACATAAAATACCTAGAATATTCTTTGGCTTACAGTTGGCACTTGGGAATTAGTACCTAACATTATTCTATCACAGTCCTCAGATACATGTTTCATTTTACTTTTACCCCATGCATTTTGGACGATTACAGTTAAAATGAGGGTCTAAGACAAAGATTAGCTCTGACAGATACTGAAGGAGATGTCAAACTTAAAAGTGACAGTTGTCTATGGTTGTGTGATTCTACACGCCCCACCCAGGGATTCATGAAAATCAATAAAAGGTACAGTTATTCCATAATTTTTTTCTTTCAGTGATTACCCTTTTAAAGTACATTTATTGAGGTATAATATATGTACCATAAAATTCACCTTTAAAAGTGTACAATTCTTTGAGTTTTAATAAATTTATACAGTTGTGTAACCATCACCACAATCCAGCTTGAGAACACATATCACTCCAGGAAGTTTCCCTGTACCTGTTTGCAGTCAGATTCTGCTCTGGGACTTTTTGTCACAGGCAACCACTGATTCTGTCTCTATAGTTTTGCCTTTTTAAGAGATTTTATATATATAAATGGTATCATGCAGGATATAATCTTTATGTGCCTGGCTTCTTTCATTTAGCATGATATTTTTTAGATTAACCCATGTTGTTACATATGTATCATAACATATCATATTGTATTGCTGCATAATATTCCATTGTATGGATATAACATATTTTTGTTTATTTACCAGTTCATGGACATTTGGGATTCCCAGTTTGAGGCTATTATAAATATTTGCATATGTCTTAGGGTGAACATCTGTTTTCATTTCTCTTGGGTAGATTCCTAGGAATTTAATTGCTGGGTCATATAAGAAGTTGCCAAGACTTGATATTGTGAATATTATTTATTTTAGCTGCCCTAGTAGGTATCTCATTGCAATTTTAATTTGTATTTCCCTAATGACAAATGATGTTGACTACCTTTTCACAGTCTTATTTTCTACTCATATATGTTCTTTGGTAAACTATTCATATCTTTTGCCTATTTTTTTATTGGGTTTTTCTTATTATTTAATTATAAGCGATCTTTATATATTGTTTGTAAAAGTTTTTTATCCAACATATGTTTTGCAAATAATTTTCTCCTAGTCTTGTCTTTTCATTTTTTAATGGTTTCTTCTGCATCCCAAATGAATCACCATTTCTAAAAAATGGTTTCACTATTAGGTAGATATAAAATAACACTTATGTAACATTTGAAAGGTATGAATAATCATCCTCATTCTTCAGGACTAGATTTTTAAGAAAAAAATTAAATCATGTTCTGATCATTTTATTATTGGAACACTTTCTTAAATATTTAAAATTTTAAGTCTCAAGGGAACCAGCTCTCTATTACTGTATTTAGTACTATAAGAGTATGAAGAGGTTTGTTAGAGAATTTAATTTGCTTTAAAAGAGTAGAAGGCAAACAAACATCTGAATAAGTTATATTAAAAGCTTTTCAATAATATTTTGACAGTTAAGGAAATTTAATTGTGTAAATTGAGGTGAGCTCCTCTTCTGATAGTACTTCCCATCTCTACTCTCGCTACCTTTATCTCAGAAGAGCACATCAATTTGGGATGGGCTTCCCAAGGGCACCATGGAAAAGCAGGTAGCAACTTACCCCATTGTTTTCAATCAGATTTCAGTTTTGCCTGCCCATGAAATTATACACAAAATAGTATTTTATAATACTAACTGCACATTTATTATAACTAACCATTAACTTTATTAAACATTTGTGCCCGTGATTCCTCTTCCTGTGAGTTTTAGGATGTCTTCGTAGTTTAGGCTCTGAATAAGCTTACATTCTTAACAGAACTGTATAAAAATGCCATTGCAAATTAAATGCAAACATAGTTTAGAGTCAAATATTTATATCTCTGATCTTTGAAATTTGTAATTAGGAAAAATACTTGATTTTACTTACATGTGTCTTTATGAAAGAATTCAATAACTCATACACTTTCAAAAATATTTAGTATAAACCTGTGATGAACAAAGCTTTCCTACAGTACAGTCTGTATTGATTAATTTTATAACTTCCTCTTCACTTTCTGTAAGTGATTAAATTATTAGTATGGTATTTTATGTATTTGTTAGCATGTTATCGCATAAGGGTTTTATCCTCCTCCTCTTTTTGGTTTACCTCTTCAAGTCCACAGATTTTATGCAATGATTGTAGCTCATGAAATGCATACTACTTTGATCTGTGACCTTTTTGTGGTGCTAATCGGGTTCCTGATATCATTATACCTTACTCATTAATCATATTTCCTGCAGCCCGTCAGGCAGCCAGACAGCACAAGTCCCTGTTTTCAGCCCTCTGTTGGCAGGTTTCTGCTTTTCCAGATTATTACAGACGATACTTTGGCTTCTCATAGCCAGAGCCACATCAAGCTGTGTGTTACAATTAAAGTCAGATGGTCCTCAGGTTGAACAGGGATATAGTGTTGCAGCTGTCTCTCTTCCTGGAACAAACCAGCACCAAGAACAGATGATCTATAGGACAGTGAATAATAACAGATTGTACAGTACTCTGCTGGTAGCAGGGGATTACAGAATTAATTAACTGACATACTCATTTTAAGATACCCAGCACGTCTTTTTTATGTATTTCGTTGCCCAAATATTAATTCAAGTGGATAGGATATTTTTAGGAGCATGATTTTGATGGTCGACCACTAATGCCACATTTTCTATTTTTGTTAGAGGACCGTTAAGTACTATCGTACCTAATCATATTAATCCTCAGAGCTTTCTATAAGTAATGAAGATCTTATTTTCAATTTGATTGCCAATTGGCAAATTGGCTAAAGTGTAGGATTTATATACAGAAGACAATATCTTATGTATTTAGAAGGAAAACCCACCTAGCTCTGATTAGTCTTTCAGGTAAATAAATTATATTTTCTTTGTTCTGAACAGTTGGAATCAGGGTAAAACCAAAGAAGTCTTAACTACCTCCCAGAGATTGGTCTGTGTTACTTAATATTACCTGAACCAGAAAAAAAGGTTTTTTTTTATTCCAAATACTGCTTCAGAAATATAAATGAGAAACAGCTTTCATACTTTGAAATAGTATAACATTGTATGAGTTCAGACTGCTCATCAGTTATCTTTTACGATATAATGTTGATGTTATGGACCTACATTATATTGCCTCTTAGAACCCTCGAGTTTTAAGTTGAAATAAGAGACATAGAAACCCATACTTTGAACAGTAAGGAAAGGTATATTTATAAAAGTTGAAATGGAACATTTAGTTTAGCTGAAGGATGTATAACTTATTCAAATTATAATAAAAGAAATTCATTTATTTAAAGGCATTTACTGAGTGCCTATGTACCAGCAATGTTAGACTCAGTGAACAAGACAAACAATATCTCTACTCTTTGGAGGTTATTTCATTTTTTTTTTTTTTTAAAGATTTTTATTTATTTATTTTTTAGAGAGCAAGCGAGAGAGAAACAGCAT